TCTGAAAAAGAAATTTAAAAATAATTCCACTTACAATAGTCAAACATAAAATTAAATACCTAGCAATTAACTCAACCAAAGAAGTGGGAGATCTCTGTAATAAAAACTGTAGAACACTGATGAAAGAAATTGAAGAGGACACCAAAAAAAATGGAAAGATAGTCCATGTTCATGAATTGAAATAATCAATATTGTTAAAACGTCCATACTGCAAAAAAGCAATCTACAGATTCAATGCAATACTTATCAAAATACAAAAAAACATTCTTCATAGAAATAGAAAAAAGAATCCTAAAATTTATACGGAGCCACAAAAGACCCAGAATAGCCAAAGCTATCCTAAGCAAAAAGAACAAAACTGGAGGAATCATATTACCTGACTTTAAATTATACTACAGAACTACAGTAATCAAAACAGCATGGTATTGTCACAAAAATAGACACATAGACGAATGGAAGATAATTGAGAACTCAGAAACAAATCCACACACCTAAAGAACTCATTTTCCACAAAGGTGCCAAGAACATCCACTGTGGAAAAGACAGTCTCTTCAATAAACGGTGCTGGGAAAACTGGATATCCATATGCGGAAGAATGAAACTAGATAGCTATCTCTTGCCATATACAAAAATCAAATCAAAATGTATTAAAGACTTAAGTCTAACACCTCAAACTATGAAACTACAACAAAAAAATACAGGAAAAAGTCTCCAGGACATTGGTCTGGGCAAAAAATTCTTAACTAGTACCCCACAAGCAAAGGCAATCAAAGCAAACATGAACAAATGGGATCATATCAAGTAAAAAGTGTGTGCACAGCAAAGGAAACAGTCTACAAAGTAAAGGTGCAATGGGAGAAAATATTTGCAAACTACCCTTTTGACAAGAAATTAATAACCAAAATATATAAGGAGCTCAAACAACTCAATAGGAAAAAAATCTAATAATTTGATCAAAATTGAGACAAAGATTTGAATAGACATTTCTCAAAAGAAGATATACAAATGGCAAACAGGAATGTGAAAAAGTACTCAATGTAGTTGATCATCAGGGAAATGCAAATCAAAACTAAAATGGAATATTACCTCACTTCAATAAAACGGCTTATATCCAAGTGACAGGCAATAACAAATGCTGGCGAGAATGTGAGGAGGAGGGAATGCTTGTACACTGTTGATGGGAATGTAAATTAGTGCAACCACAATGGAGAACAATTTGGAGATTCCTCAAAAAACTAAAAATTGAGCTACCATATGATCCAGCAATCCCACTGCTGGGTATATACTCCAAACAAAGGATATCAGTATTATCAAAGAGATATCTGCACTCCCATGTTTGTTGCAGCACTGTTTACAACAGCTAAGATTTGGAAGCCACCAAAGTGTTCATCAACAGATACATGAATGAAGAAAATATGGTACATATACACAGTGGTGTACTAATCAGTCATAAGAAAGAATGAGATCTAGTTATTTACAACAGCACGGATGGAACTAGAGATCATTATATTAAGTGAAATGGGGCAGGCACAGAAAGACAAACATCACATGTTCTCACTTATTTGTGGAATCTAAAAATCAAAACAATTGAACTCATGGAGATAGAGAGTAGAAGGATGGTTACCAGAGACTGGGAAGGGTACTGGGTGGTGGGGGAGAGTGGGGATGGTTATCGGGTAGGAAAAAAGAATGAATAAGACCTATTATTTGATAGGACAGCAAGGTGACTATAGTCAATAATAATATAACTGTATAATTAAATTGTCTGTAACACAAAGGATAAATGCTTCAAATAATGGACACCCCATTGTACATGATGTGATTATTACACTTCGCATGTATCAAAACATCTCATATATCCCATAAATGTATACAACTACTAGGTACCCAGAAAGGTTTAAAAAAAATTTAAAAGACCCAGCAAACAAAAAATTTTACATTCAAAAAGATAAAAAGAGTTCCTAAAATTGTAAAATATGTACCTATTCTAGACTTGTATGTACATACTAACAATGCCTCAAGTGTACAAAGCAAAAATTGTCAAAAGTGTAATAATTTGACAAATCCATAAATACAGTGGGAGATTTTAACTCTCTCGGTAACTGATAGGTCCAGCAAACAAAAAACTTAGGAATAGAGAAGATTTAAACAACACAATTAAATTTAATGAACAGAACACTACATGCAAAAATCAGATACACAGTCTTTCCAGGCACACATAAAACATTAGTTGATCATGTTCTCTGGGACATAAAGCAAGTTTCAACAAACATTAAATAATCATTATCACATAAGCAATATTGTCTCTTAAATGGAAAATAACAAAACGTTAAGCTAAAACACAGCTATATACAATGACTTAGTTTCTAAATACTGTCTCCAGAAAGAAATGATTAATGGGGTAGGAAGTAAAACACAAGCCTGAAAGTAAGGAAGTAAAAAAATTTTAAAGTAAGTAAAATGTGTGTTTAAGAATGATGAGACATGTCAAAAGACAGGTGAGCCAACTTAAATGGGCAGCCAGTCACTAAATCTGAGACAATTTGGGTATTAAAATAAATAATAACAACAGGGTATTTTAAAAATAAAGTAAAAATCTATGTGTCCAAAGTAATTAATAAACAAATAAATGGAGAAAAAGCTCTACATTGATGTAGAATATAAACTAATAAATGTAATAAAAATGATGGAGTTTGAAAATCACCATTTTGCATTCATCATAGCAATATCTGATTCAGTCAAGAATTATCAATGGATTTGAAAACTAGTGGATGATAGTTAATGAGGAACAGGATATTTACATAGTCTCAAAGTATCCCCAGCAAAATCATTAATTATAAAGAGGAAAATTGTAACTGTAAAGTGGATTAATCTAGCAACTATTCACAATGTTAACCAAGTAATCAAAGTTAACTTTACTACTAGAGGGTCAAACCAGCATCATGTGCCACCAATATGATGCCCTGAGAACAACACTTCACTTCTGTGGTGCTTTTGCTAATATGCGTACTCTAAATAATGGGGAAATGGCAAACAAATTTAAATTAAAGGACAATCTATGAAATAAGTGTCCTATATTTACACAAGTGCCAATTGCCAATGTGTGATATTGTGATATATATATTGAAATTGTCCATGGTTCCTGGCTCATAACTCCCAAATCTCTTGTTATTTCCTAAGCGACTAAAATAATAAGCACATCTTTTGTTAAAGTATTTGGTCTTTTGTCTTTGGTTCCTGAAGCAGCTTTGAAACAGCTTCAGAGAAATAAAAGTGAGAGACAGTCTATATATATACATACATATGTATATATATGTATAATGTTGGGGCACTTTAGGATTCAGAAAACAGAATCTCTCTCTTTCTCCTGCCCTCCTTTTACCTGCTTTTTTTTCTCCCAAAGGCAAGCCATAGAAACTAAAAATACACTCTAATCTTCACCCGGCTTTCTGTCTTGGAGCTGGATGTAAAGAAATTCTCTGACCTATCTAGTTTGACTGTGGGTCATAAGACCCCCATTTCAGAAAGAGTCCTGCCCCATACCCAGGAGGAAGGAATGCTGCACAAAGAAGCCAAGAAGAATCTAAACAGGCAAGCCTTGCTGGGTTTCTCCACCAAGTCTATTGGTATTAGATCATACCCTTTAGTCCAGTCACATTTCTACATGGCTGTTCATGTTTCATTAGTGCCTATCGAATGAAGTCTTCATGAAAAGCACAAGAGGACAAAGTACAACTGAATTTGTGGAGGATTGTAGAAAGGTGAAAAATAACTCATCCACATGCCAGGAGGGTGGCACACCCCAACTCCACAGGAATGGAAGCTCCTGTACTCAGTACCCTTCGAGACCTCACTCTATGTATCTCTTCATCTGGCTGTTTATATGTAGCCTTTAAAATACCCTTTATGAATAAAGGGGTAAATGTAAGTAAGTGTTTCCCTGAGTTCTGTGTGTTTTTCTAGCAAATTATTTGAGCCTAAAGAGAGGGGTTGCGGGAACCCTAACTTGAAGCAGGTCAGTTAAAAGTTCCAGAGGCCCAGATTTGAAACTGATGTCTAAAGTTGAGGCAGTCTCGTGGGACTAAGCCCTCAGTCTGTGGGATCTGATACTTTCTGCAGGGAGATAGCTTCAGAATTGAATTGGATTGGAGAACACTCAGCTGGTGTCCACTACAGAATTGTTTACTTGCTTGTTGGTGAGAAGAAATCCCAATACATTTGGTCACAAGTTTTCTGTGTTGGTTGTTGTGGTACAAGAGCCAAAGAAAAACTGTTTTTTTTCCACACAATCAGCGTCAGAAGTGGGGTTGTGAGAATATAATGACAGAAGCTGAGTTTGTTTTTCTACACACATAAAAGACAAAGAAAGGTCAAGGAATTGTTCCATATTAAAAACTGGAGAGACATGACAAGTAAATGCAATGCATCATCTTGGATTAGCACTTTGACCAAGGAAAGAAAATAACCATAAAAGACATTATTGGGACAACTGATAACATTGGAATATGGCGTAGATTACAATATTGAAACAATGTCAAATTTCTTGATTGTGACACATTTACTGAGGATGTATAAGAGGAAATCATCACTCTGAGGAAATACATACTGACATATTAAGAGGTAAAGGAGAATGATATTTGCAAATTACTATCAAATAGGAGAAGGAGAAGGAGAGGAAGAGAAAAACAGAATGATAAGGCAAACGTGATAAAATGTTAATTGGTGAATTTGGGTAAAGGGCACTTTGGGAGTTCTTTGTAATATTCCCAGTTTTTCAAGTGTGAAATTAAATAAAAATAAAAAATTTAAAAACATGAATACAAAATTCAATAATAACTACATCAATATCAATAACCATACTTTTTCTATGTATTTAATGAAAGAAAATGTTTTCTATTGCCAAATTCTGTTGGGATGAGCAGCCAATGTATAATTTTTGTATCTTGTTATAAGAAGGATTAAAAAAAATTAAAGCAAGTCAAAATGGCTGGCAAGTCAAAATGGCTGGCAAGCAGGCCATTTCAGCATCAGGCAAGTGGCTGGATCGTATTCAAAAATGGTATTACAATGCCGCAGGATTCAATAAACTGAGGTTAATGCGAGATGATACAATATATGAGGATGAAGACGTAAAACAAGCCATAAGAAGGCTTCCTGAGAACCTTTATAATGACAGGATGTTTCACATTAAGAGGGCACTGGACCTGACCATGAAGCATCAGATCTTGCCTAAAGAGCAGTAGACCAAATATGAAGAGGAAAATTTCTACCTTGAACTGTATCTGAAAGAGGTTATTTGGGAAAGAAAAGAAAGAAGAATGGGCAAAGAAGTAATCAAGTAGTTGAAGTCTGTGGATGCAGCTGTTATGAAGATGGTCAAACCTGAAACAATGTTAAGAATTATTTGGTCTGCAGATGTTTTACTTTAAATAAATGTCTATTGTAATGGCTGGAGTTTTTGAATTCCAAACCTTATACTGAATAACTACTGAATCCATTTACTGTTAAATTTTTTTTCCAAACTTTCAAGATATTTTCAGTTGTGTTTAAGTGCTTTCTGGAGCTCAGAGGCCACTTTATCAGTTTTCCTCACTGGTTAGATAGCCTATCAGTTTATGGAAGGATATAACTTCCGTAAGTTACATCCTTATGGAAACTACTAAATAAAAGAAGGGGGTATGCATCCCCTAGTTTGCCAGGATTCAGAAACAGCCTCTTCACTGCTATCTGAATAGATTTGATTTTGCATCCTATCATTTAAAAAGAAATTATGTATGCACCCCAACATAGGTATACTTAAGTAATATATATACTCCTGTGCTAACATGTAGACTAGAAAACAAAAAGTAGACACTAGAAAAACAGAAGTACAAAGACAAATCATACTTGTCCCCATATCCCAGTGACTTTTCCACTTTGGAAATGATTGTTATAAAGTTTAAGGGTTGCATACTAATCAGTTAAAAGTTTTAAGATTGTAAGGTAATTTTAAAAAATATAAATTAGAATCACTGGCCAGGTGCGGTGGCTCATGCCTGTGGTCCCAGCGCTGTAGGAGGCTGAGGCGGGTGGATCTCCTGAGGTTAGGAATTCGAGACCACCCTGGCCAACATGGTGAAACCCCATCTCTACGAGGGATGCGGAAAATTGGCCGGGCGTGGTGGCGGGCGGTCCCAGCTGCTCGGGAGACTGGGACAGGAGAATTGCTTGACCACGGGGGGTGGAGGTTGCAGTGGGCCTAGATCGCGCCACTGCACTTCAGCCTGAGCGACAGTGGCTCCATCTCAAAAAAAAAGAAAAAATTAGAATTATTCAATGTTGTCATCATTTCCACTCCTAAATTCTGAAATGCTTTCTTTGGTGGAGGTGAGAGTCTGGAGCCACAGCTAGTACAGAAGGAACAGTAGGACCTGCAGCCTCCCTGGTTTTCCAGGACAAGTCATTGCTGTTTGCGGCAGGAATGCCTTACACCTCAAATAACCAAACGGTGTGAAAAACAAATTTGAGTTACATTTAAAATTTGTAAAGCAATGAGAAATGTGTGTATCATAAAGAGCATCTTTAAATTTTTGCTAAAATATTAAGCCTCTTAAGTTCCCTAAGAATCCCACCCTCCCCCCCTTTTTTTTTTGCTAGTCAGATTATTTTTCTAAACCTATCTTGAAATCATGTCAATTTTCTTCTGTCTGGTTCAAGATGACTAGATCACTTGATAATGGTTTTGCTCAGGTCACACTGTGACAAGGTTTTAGTGTAGTCCTACTTTGCAGAAGGAGGCAGAGAAGATGGACTGTCTAGAATCCCCTTTAAAAGCATTTGTCTATTCAGAAAATTTTCCTGAGTAGATCTCTCCAAAGGTTCTTTTAATTGTGATTTCAAGATCATTTTTGCAGGACTCTGGTCTATTTGTTCAGACATGTACTGTGCACAATTACAAGGAGACTAGAACTGAGGCATCTCAAAAAGCACTGTCAAGATGTGTAGGGAGCTGGGTGGGTGGAGGGAGGCTGGGTTCTGACCCTAGAAACCATGCTTACGAATGCGATTAATGTTTAAAGCAAGTCTAAGGGCACTGCTGAAGGACAGGGGAACAAATAGAATGGACTAAGATGTAAATGACGAGTTGATGGGTGCAGCACAGCAACATGGCACAAGTATACATATGTAACAAACCTGCACGTTATGCACATGTACCCTACAACTTAAAGTATAATAATAATAAATAAATTAAAAAAAAAAAAAAGAAAAAAAAGAAAACATGTAAATAGGAAATTTTTTAAAGTACCATAAAAAGCACAGACATTTACCTGGGTGAGAAAAATAAAACATTGAAAGACAAAAAAAAAAAAAAAAAAAAAAAGGTATAACGGAACCCCCAGGCTATCTACCTGCTCAAGGTAAAAAGTGTGGTATTATGTAGGGCAACCTCTGATTTTGTGAAAGTTCTTCCTAAAGCCAAAGTGAATGCCTATTCTATGTCTCCAGATTACTTCACTCGTCTAAATGAGAACAAGTGTGCAAAAGTTCTTTGAACACTAAATCAATGTTTTGTATTCATTATAAATTACGGTTATCGTCCTGCTTGTTATGAAGACTAAGAAAGTAGATCTAGTATTTCACTCACATAGGTGAATGGGTGAGAATTTGTTAATCCATCAGTGAAGTCCTTTCATTTGAAAGAGAGGGCCTTTCTATTATCAAAAGCTGTCCCGTGTGAAAAATCACCATGAGAGTGCCTGAAACACACAGGCTTGTCGTCCTGTAGACAGAATGGTAGAGTGATTCAGAGCTAATTCTGGGTTAGATTGCACAGGTCTGAATCTATTTGCTAACTGTGTAGTGCTTTAGGAATACAATTTAACCTCTCTGTGCTTCCGTTTCTTTGGCCCTAAGATAGAGCTAATGATAGAAACCTACTTTACAGAGTTGTGAAAATTAACTGACTACATGTCAAGCACTAACAGTCTCTGGCACATAGTATGCATAATGTAAATTATGTGATGAGAAGCGAGAAAGAGTAACTTGGGAAAACGCTGAATATCATCAAAGTTGAATAGCTAACCAGTAGCTAAGGTTCAAGGTCCCCTCTCTTCTTCCTTCTATGTGGCACTCTTGTTTCTGGTCCGTCTGCTCCCCTTGGGTGTCACCTGCTTGAGTGAAGTACCTGCTGGAGATGAGAAGAGTGGAACTGGATCTGCATGACAGCTTTGATTAGGATGGAGCTAAGACTTGGCTATCTCCCTGTTTTGTGTTTTGGATAGGTGACATTTTAAAACTGCCAACATTAAAATCTTGCTAATTTGCTTTGTACAGTTTAAAATGTTTGATATCTTTTATTGTTTAAAGTTTGAGATTGGTTTTGAATGTACGGTTTTCCTAAATCTTGAAGAAGGATATGTTTGTACTCTGAAGTGGTCTATGTTCTGTTTTTCTATTTTACTATACTTTGCGAAAAACAGATGGCTGGCTTACGTTCACTGTTGTAGTGCACTACCTAGCATCACTCAGCTTTCCTGTTGTCAAGGTGTAGGAAGCAGCATAAGGGATGTTGGGACTTCAGACCCCCAATTGCCAACTCTGGTCCTATTTCCAGATTGCATGGAAATATTTGGTAACATTCCTGCACCGAGCTATCATGGTCTGAATATTTATGTGATGCTCTACAAGTGGTACCAAAAGGTTAGTGATGGAATTTTCACTAATGGGACCTTTTCCTGTTTTTAAATTCTAGAATCTTAATACATCCAAAGTGTACATTTTGGTAATTATTTCATTTAGCTATTTACTTTAAGGACTCTCTTTTACAGCATTAACTCTGCACTAATTTTGACTTATGAAAAGATTCAGCAGTAAGAATAAAAACTGGGCCAAAGCCCAAAGTAATGATCCTTCACAAATAGGATGGAGTTTTAAAAATATGGGCATCCTGTGTGTAGCTTTGAAAATAACCAAAGTACTTGGAATTAAAAAGTTAGGTGAACATAAAAATTGGCATAACCAAATCCTTGACAGACTGATGGATGAAAAGCAGATGGGTTTACACTGTGTGGGAAGAGGCATGGATTTTAGGAAGGACAGCATCAGAGAGGGATGGTTAGAAAGTGAACAAGACACATTGCTCCTTGGAAAACAAGGAAAGTCCCTTTAAGGCATGAAATTCTGCCACTAGGTGGCGATGCCCTATAACTTTACAACTTAGGATACATCACACCAGCACTATGGAAGATTTCTCCATTTAGCATCCCAACAACTCTCTCTCCTCCTTCATTTTTCAGGATGACAACACCTTAGAGGTTTATGGCCATTAGGAGACCTTACTACTAAGCTGTATACTGATGTAATGAAATCTAATATATGTTGTGCAATTAATTATGAGTTATTTAGTTTCAGGATTTTATTACTTCAATCAGTTATGACCATATTTCCTTTTATATGATTGCTCACTCTTTAAACATACCAGATGACTATATAAGGAGCATATAATAAAGTCTATAGATATCAAAAAAATTAAAGCAGAAAAAAAGATAAAATTAAACTAGAATGGGAGTAATGATTTCATAATATAATTTTAAAAAAAGGAATCCCATATGATTAGAAATTGAAAAAAAAAACTCATGGGTCAAAAAAATTATAAGAGAAATTTAAAAATAATAAATGTTGAATGATAAAAATACTATATATAAAAGCCTGTGAAATATTTCTAAAGTGGTAGAAGAAAATTTATAGTTCTAAATTCTTATTTTACAGAAGAACATTGAAAATTAAGAAGCTAAAGATCCAACTCAATAAATTAGAAAAAGAACAACAAAAGCAAAGTAGAAGAAAGTTCAATATAAAAATAAAAGTCAAAATGATTAAAATAGGAAACAAAATATCCAATGATGAGGCTTGATGAAAGCAAAAGCAAGAAATACATTAGAAAATTGATTACTGTAATTTATCTCATGGTCACAGTGTGATATTAATGGTGAAAAAAAGGATATGAACATGGCAGTACATATAGACGGGAAAAAACTTCATAATATTTGTAATAAAACCTCTCAGCAAACTAGGAATATAACAAAAGTTCTTAACTTGAGAAAGACAATCTACTAAAAGAGGTGAAACTTTTGTAGAATTTAGGAACAAAATAAGGAAATCCTCTACCAATGATATTGTTCCTCTTTGTACCGAAGATCCTAGCTAGCACAGTAATACAAGCTAAAGAAATATTGGAAAGAAACTGTCATGATTCAAAACATAATTAATTAACAGATAATCCAAGAAAATCTATAAATTATTAGAATAAATAGAATTTAAGAAGGTTACAGCATATAAAATCAATATACAAAAAT